CTTACGGTTTTCACTGAGCCTGGTGTGTTTATGCCCATGTGGGTTGCCAAGTGATGATGCAGTCGGCAGCTTCTAATGCCGCATGGTACCCGAGGTGGGAATCGACCAGATGACACGGCCCTTCACTCTCCCGGAGAACGACGCCCAGGTTGCTTCCAGCTCACCGTCACCACCGACAAGGCTGCAAGGAGCACCTCAGCTCAGGTCCTTCTGGGGACCTGTGTGAGACTTTCTCAGAGATGTGTACTGAGCAACAGAACTGCCCAGTCAGACAGGACGTGGACTGTCATTTTGACTCACCTCTGCCAGGCTGTTTTCCAGAATGCTTGCATCCGTCTACACTCCGACTAGCTCCGCGTGAGAGTTCCTGTTCCCCCACATCCTGCCAGAGGTTGACATCACCGGCTGTCTCACTCGCGCCGATCCGATCGACCTCAAGGGGCACCGTCTCATTGTTTCAATTGGCGTTTCTCTCATTTCTGATGGGTCTGAGCATCTTCGCACGTTTTCTTTGAACATTTTGGATTTCTTCTTTTGTAAATTGCATGGTTCACCTCCTTTGTCTCTCTTGTGGTTGTTCCATTCTCCTGCCTCTGCTAACATCCTTGGTATTTACCTACACATAACCACTTGTCGGTCAAAGAAGTTGCGAGTATCTTTTCCCAGCCTGTCATTTGTGTCTCCATTGTGTCCACCGTTTCTTTAATTATGACAAATTGATCTTTTTTACTGCCACCTCTCTGGTTGACCCTAGAAGGCACCTTCGTGGACTCTCTCGTAAGATGCGGATAATGAGGGTGCTTACACCACATGGTGGTTTTGAAGGTTCAACAAGATGGCGTGTCAAATTCATATCGTGAAGCTCAATGAGCACAGTGTTTGACGTAGTCATAGTATTTGGTAGTATTGGTAATTGTTGGATTCTCCACGGGATTTTACGGGTTCCTCAATGACAGCTGAAGCTATGGCGTAAGTGAGGCAGAAGCTAATCAGGTGCCACATCAATCTGTCACATTCTCTCTCTCTACCCGGAACCGCCTGTGGTCCTGTTCAATCAGCAGCCTTGGGTGGTGGTGACCTCACCTTATCCGTACAATCTTACAGCACACACGTGTCCTGAGGCTCTATCACAAAAGCGTGTGATCCCCAAACACGGTTCGTATTTACCGTAGGCTGTTCAGTCTGGAACTTATCACCCTGCCCGGTGTTTTGCAAAGTTCCAAACCCATCCGGATCGACTTGGGTGTGTGGCTGCCTCTTCGTCTGTCACCGCGGATCAGACGATCAGGTGGGACTCCCTCTCTGGGAGGACTGATTTCCAAAGGCCGCCTGGGTGAGACTTCCCCGAACAACATTACTGTGAGTCAGATTCACACACATTTCATTTATCCCCCTGACATAGACTTGAAAATTAAAGGCAGGAATCTTTGTCGGAATGCATCATGGCCGTGATAGGAGACAGAGGCCACTGTGCAATAGTCGAGTAACTTTAACAGATCTGATCTCATCCGAGAGGGCTCGAGGTCCCCCGTAGGAGAGGTCTGGTGGAGACAACTCTTGCGACCTGGGGAAACAGCGATCCATCTGCCCAGGCCTGCACCTGCTCAAGGTGTGTTCCAATTGGCATCTTCTTCTTCTCCCAAACTGTGAGAATCCTTACTGAGACCTTCCTATTCTTCTCAGAGAACAAAGATGGCACCATTCCATTTAGCCACTAAGGTGGAAAGAAGTTGCCCTGTGCACCTGCTTCCTGCAACAGATATGGGGACACTGAGGGCAGAAAGGACAGTGAAGCCCCTCAAGGGAGCACAGCCAGTCAGTAGGAAAGTCAACTGTAGGACACAGGACTGTCTCCTCAAAGCGGTCCTGTCCACTCCCAAAGAGACCCGTCTCTCCGAGGAGGCTTCCAGAACAAAGGCCCACCCTCTCAACGGTGCGTTGTCCAAGGTGAGCTGCTGAGACTTAGCCACGTGAAACGCGGAGCCAGGATAAGGCCGGCTGGGACACGAGTTTGGAGAAGCTCGCCTCCGACGGCCCCTCGCAGCCCTCGAACCACTGCCATCTGGAGCTGTCGTTCACTAAGTGCCTTCTGTGAGGGAGACGCGGCGCGAAGCCATTTTCCCCACGTCACCTCACCTTGTGAGACAGCCTGTAAGTGGCAGGTCTGAAATTCCCAACAATTCTCCTGAAAAATAAAGCGGGATCTGTTCCTAACGCCGCAAACGAGGGTGAAACTGAGACAGATTCAAGACTCGCACGTCAGACTGCAACCCAGAACCGGTGCGGGCTATCGACTGCTTAGTAACAAATTACCTCAGAACCTAGTGCCTTCAAGCTGTGTGCACTGTTATCTCTGTGGGCGGGAAACCTGGGTGTCCCTTAGCCGGGGCTTCTACTCCAGGGTCTGTCGCAGACCACAACCGAGGTCACGACCCGAGCCACGGCCACCTCCAGTCTACCAGGCCACCCATTGGCCTCCAAGCTCCTGTGAATGTCCAGCTCTCCACAGACTGGGGGCCGGAGGGCCTAGGTTCTTCACCACCTGCTGGCCGGCAGGCCACTCTCAGCTCCTTGCTAACGTGAACCTCCAACACGCCAGCTTCTGTCACCCATAGCGCCTGCTGGCAGATGGAAAGCCACAATGTGTGGCCATCTAATCACGGAGGGGCCTCGCGTCGTCTTTGCCGCACCCCCTTGGTTCGAAGTGAGTCGCCAGCTTCGGCCCACGCTCGAGGCGAGGAGGGTTCACAGCCGTGTGGATGCCAAGAGGCAGGGATCACGGGGGGCCGTCTTAGAAGCCTTCCTACCACGGAACTATAGAAAGAAAAAAAATGAGAATTTCTGAAGACGCCGTGGACAGCGAGTAGGCAATGATGGAACGGGCAGAGATAGCTGTGATGCCCAAAACTGACAAGAAACTCCTCTAAATCGGCAAGAAGGAGACAGCAATCCCAGAAGGAGAAAAAAAAAATGCACAAAGGCTATAAATAGTCCATTTACGGAAGAGATTCAAAAGGCTAATTAATAAGCACACGAAGAGATGCTCACATTTATTAGTAATTAGAAAATGCCATTAAAACAAGATAGCACTTCACACCTTCTAGAATGGCAAAAGAGACAGCTGGATAGCGCCACGTGTTGGCAGGCACGCGGGGCTTTCATCACTGCTGGTGGGAGCGCAGACCCGAGCGGCCGCCCCCAGGAGCATCTGTGCCACTTGGTAGGATGGATTGCATGTAGGTGCCGTGGCCCAACGGTTCTGCTGCTGGACGCAGGCGCCGAAGGAACCCTTGCTCTCATCCTCAAGGATGCCCTTTGCAGCGTTACAAGCCGGCTGCCACATGGGTGCCCTCTCCCGGGAGCTCGGACGGTCATGATGGAGCAGCGTGTGTGGGACCCAAAGCATCAGAATGTGTGTTCCTAGGGCAGCGTGAGTGCCTGTGACAATCAGGGTGCCTGGGCGAAACAGGAAGGACGTGTGACGAGATACACGACGCGGCATCATGTGCGCAAGTTAAAAATGCAGGCAGACAAAGCGCAAATGCACGTGAAACAAAATCCACACGTTTCCTATCGGCGTAGGAGCGACATGAGGGGACAAAGGGTTAAGTGTGCGACCCAAGAAAGGAGCCAGGTGCAGACCAGAGACACCCCAGTTCTGAGAGCTGGGGAGTAGGAGGGTTTAGCCTTCTGTCTCTGAGGGGAAAAACTCAAACAAAGCCAAACGGCCAGTCTTGCCTAACCTTTGAGTCCACTTTGGCGAGAGTGGTAATCTACCGCGGGAAAGCACCCCTTGAATTTGACCTCGCTGGGTGCCGCACCAGCTTATTTGATCCCAGTACTCTTTTCCCACCTAAGACCCACTAATAACGGTTAGAACCTGTGCTTGTTGGCATGTATGTTGGAAAACACAGTTTGCGATAAATCAACCTGCTGACTTTGCATTCGCTTCAGTGCCCAGGAGCTCGTTGTGTGTTTACGCTTGTGCGTGAGTGTGTGGATACAAACAAATGTGATGGTTTCTCCCGGGAATTAATGATTCTGTGCCTCGGCGCATTTCTCAGAACGGCTTTAAGGGTTAATTTGGCTGGATATGACCTCTGACACGGCTCGTGACTGTCTTCTTAAGGCACTGGGTTGTTTCTCTTCTTTTCATCTTGTCCCATGTTTTTGAATGGCGTCTCCCGGTGATCAAGACTGGGCGCTAAATAATTAAACTTTGGGTTAAGCTCGCAGACACGAGGCGTGAGGTCTGATGCGTGGGGACACACACACACGCACACGCACACACACGCACACTCCATGCCATCCAGCTTCCCAAAGAGGGTCTAGCTTCCAATATTATCAGCACCTGGCAGGATGAGACTATTTTATGTAAATGGATTCATTATTATTAATTTCTGCCGGCGCTGAACGATTTATGAACTGCTTTTCGAATGTAGAAAAGTGGTTCATGAATCAGAAGGAAAAATGTTCCCCAAAACTGGCATCGATAAATAACGACTTTTATTCATGGATCCCGCCCATGGTGTCTTTTATCTTCAGGAAGGTTGGGTTGGAAATTACAAAATCATTGCGGGGGGTGGGGGTCGGGGACAAACAAGGAAGTGAGGGTCACGGAATGGGAGAGGTGGTTCCTGAGGCAGTTCAGGGGGTGGCAAGGTGTGCTGGCCGACGTTACCCTCCTGGGCCTTCTTCTCCTGCAGGACCTACTTCCTCTCTCTCCCTCTTTCTCACGTGTGTGTAACTGTGCCGAACTAACATAGTTTTGCACTTCTCCAATTGCAAAGGAGATTCAGCAGGTATCCAGTCTCTCAAAAAGAAAAAAAAGTCTTCGGGGGCACCTGGGTGGCTCAGTCAGTTAAGCATCCGACTCTTGATAGCAGCCAAGGTCATGATCTCGAGGTTGGTGAGTTCGAGCCCCGCATCGGGCTCTGTGCTCACGGTGTGGAGCTTGCTTGGGATTCTCCCTCTCTCCTTCTCTCTCTCTGCCCCTCTGCTCTCTCTCTCTCTCTCTTTCTCTCTCTCTCTCTCTCTCAAAATAAAAAAAAAATAAACTTAAAAAAAAAAATCTTCATTTGCCAAACACACTTGATTCATTGTCCCAGGAGAGACAGCCGGGGAAAGCCACGGGCAAAGTGATGTGGCCGTCACAGGTGCAAGTTCCAGGCCTGTCTCTGGAGAGACGTGCAGAGGCTCTTTGGACCTGCAGGATAAGGACAGGAATTAAGGACTGTAGGATAAACACTGCTTGAGTGCACATTTCTAGGATCCAGAGTCAGTGGCTACAGGGCTCTTTGGTACCGGTCTTACAATATTATTTGCAGGTTCTGCCAATCAGAAAAGACCTTAAATGCTGCTGGACTGCTGCCTTAGATATTCCATAGTTCACGAGGCAGATGGGCAAGGCTTTCCCAGCTTTGGCAGGCAGAGGGAATTCGAGACTGTTCCTAAAGCCCCGAGACCTTGCCAAACGGCTACCTCTCTCACCTGGAGAGAGAGATCTGAGCGAACAGTCCCCTCCACGGGCCTCCGGATGGGAACACAGCTACCAAGTCCTCCCAGGGATTTGGAAGTTCATAGGCTGTCTGCACCGGTCTCCAGAGAAGCGATAAATCAAGCTGCAAATAACCTGGAGCAGCCTGAAGCCACTGGGGATTTACCACGGTAGGATTAATGCAAACGCATACCTACTTGGGGGAAGTGGGAGCCAGAGACGGAAAAGCCATGGTTGCAATAGCGGCCCCCCACTCTACCTGCCAGCTCACTCAATCAGCTTTTGCCCAGAAATAAGCAAAAAATTGAACCATGAATCTGCTGTCCCTGCTGGGCCTCATTCCCACACGTCTGTCCTTGGGTGGCCATCTCATGGTGTGTGATTCTAGGACTTTAAAACATTCCTTTTTAATACAACTACTTAATCTAGCGTTCCACTGCAGGAACAGTGATCTCCTTCCACACCAGAAGATAAATTGGAAAGCCAGTTGTGGTGGGATCCTGAAAGTTCCTGTGGCCATTCCCAAAGGCGCCCTGCCATCCCTACATAAGAGGTGGCCTCACGGCCATAGTTGGTTGGCTTTCCGTATTAATGAACTCTTTCCTACCTCTCAACCCTGCCGCGAATACGCAGAAAGCACTTTATAAATAAATAAGTAAATAAATAAATAAATAAATAAATAAATAAATAAATAAATTTTGTTCCTTTTTGTGGTGCACTGAGTTTATCTGTGCACCATTTCTGGGCAGCAAGTGAAGACCACTTTTCTTTAAGGGAAGAAAAAACAAAGGTACAAAGACGATGGGGATCCTACCAAGACATGTCAGAAAGCTGGAGTCACATCGAGATGAAAACTTGTCATTTCTGAGTCTTCCTCTCAGAGATGTGGCCATTCAGGTATTGGATACCTTCTAGGTTCTGCCCCCATGCCGGCCCGTGTGGATATAGCCATCAACAAGACCAAAAGAGCCCCTGCGTGTCCCCAGGGAGTTTATGTTCCTGTGGCAGGAGATGACAGTAATAGGAAGCCATAATAAAATAAAACTGGATGATGAAACGGTGCATATCTGTTTCTTTTTAAAAAAAAATTTTTTTTTTCAACGTTTATTTATTTTTGGGACAGAGAGAGACAGAGCATGAACGGGGGAGGGGCAGAGAGAGAGGGAGACACAGAATCGGAAACAGGCTCCAGGCTCCGAGCCATCAGCCCAGAGCCTAATGTGGGGCTCGAACTCCCGGACCGCGAGATCGTGACCTGGCTGAAGTCGGACGCCGAACCGACTGCGCCACCCAGGCGCCCCTCGAATTTTATTCTTAATGCCATGGGATGATTTGTTGGATGAGTAACCAGGAAGATTAATTTCAATTACTTTATTACCATGGAACTTCGCTGAAGAAATCACACTTAAAAAATATAAATAAATAAACTAAGAAACCAAAACAGAAAGAAACATATTTTCTCAGCCTATTGGCAAAACCAGTCCTCAAGGAGAAAGAGTGGATTGGCTGTCGTTAGGAAGTGAGTAAATCACCTATTGCCTTTAAATATCTCCTCTGGTCTGGTTGCTCCAACATAAGCAAACCTCTTTGCTACTCAGGACACCAAAAGGTTGTCCAACTCTGAGGAGGTAGGGGTTGAAAGAAAAGGCATTCGGGAATTAAATATGTGCTTCAATCAGTTGAACTTTTATACAGATTGACTGCAGTGAAAAATTAGAGCTTTGTGTAATCCAATAGAGTAAAATCAAATGCCCCAAATAAATAAATAGTTGTCTTTTTTTATTAGCTTTCCATCACCCCTGGATCCATTTGTAAGTTGCATTGTGTCACCTCTGTTTTCATTTGCAATGTTGCCTCTGAAAACTGTTTTGTTTATTTGAGCTCAGCAATCAGGCTTAAATGTACCAATATATATTGTTCTAAAGTGTATATTTTTTCTGTCTACCAAAGACATAGTGACTACTCCTTTTATGGGAAACCAGTTATTAATCCAATAAGTCTGCATGAATCAATATCTTTGTGAAATGACACCGTGTTCAAGTTATTTTATGTTATGTTGATGGTTAGCTAATTTTGGAATGGAGACATTTCTTCTAGAAACAGACATAGTATAATTTAGTGGTGAAAACGTCAATCACCATAGGTTGTATGTCTTTGTCCGGGCAGAAGAGGGCAGATTTATTGAAGGAAATGCAGCTATATATTCGTTGCCGCGCTGTGACCCACAACATCCATTTTGCTTATAATTTTGTTTGGCAAACTGACATCACCTGCAGTCACCAGCGGGAAGATGATGCCAAAAGTCATTGTTCTTGGGTTCTGACTCCGTAGTCTCGCTGCAGGCTGGTAGGGTTACCAGTATCAGCGTGGCATCAGCATGACACAACACAATGGCATTTTTCTCTGGTGACAGGCATCTACAAAGGAAAATCTGCATGATGCTAAGAAAGTTTGTACAATTTCGTCTGGGGAAAACCCAATTCAGTAGAACTCCTTTTCCTACTATCTAACGGCCCACCGAGAAGGGTCTGATCCTTGAATTCTCCACTGACTCTGAAGTATCCTCTTTCCCAGTTCCTTTCCCTCTGCCCCTTCCATCCTGCGGGTGTTTTAGCCAAGCCAAAGGAATGGGGAGAAGAAGAGGAAGAATCCAATGGCCCCAGGAGGTGAGAGACAAAGAGCCACAAACGTGGAGACGCAGACATAGTAACAACTGCTGACGAGCTTGGACAGAGAAAACTCGGAAGCACACAGGAAGTAACAGCCATTTGGGTACTGAGGTGGCCAAAGGAGTTTAACTGAGTCATAGGTAACATGGTAACTTAGGGACAGAGTTTCATCCCGGAGTGCAACGAAGTGCTCACGTGTCATGGCAAAGGCATTTCTCTTCCAAGCCAGTCGTCAACATCAACATCACCAGGGGGATAAGAAAGGCATGTGTGCTAACTTGTTCCATCAATGGCTGCAGTGAGTCATATTACCCAGCGTCCACGCTCTCCCATATTGACTCTGGGCTTGGCCACGTTGCTTGCTTTGGCTCACGGCTCATCGGCAAACAGGAAGCAAACACTGGGTGGCACCTTGGAGCTGCCCTGTTGGAGCATGGTCACTTGTGAAATGGCAGGAATAGATAACATTTAAACACTGCTTTTTTGGGGGCTCCCGGGTGGCTCAGTCGGTTAAGCATTCGACTCTTGATTTCGGCCCAGGTCATGATCTCACAGTTTGTGGGTTCACGCCCCACATCAGGCTCTGTGCTGACAGTGCGGAGCTTGCTCGGGATTCTCTCTCCCTCTCCCTCTGCCCCTTCCCCCCACCCTCAAAATAAATAAATAAACTAAAAAAAAAAACAAAAAAAAAACCTCTATCAACACTACTTTTTAAAGAGGTTAACACCTTTTAGATGTATTATCTCACATGTCCTCACCCAGCCCTCTGACTCAATTACTATGAGAACTAATGACTATTTCACAGATGAAGAAACCGAGGTAAAAGGGCATGGAGAAGGGAGTGCCTGGACCAAGTGACGGGCTGGATGTTAACATGGCTGGGTGAGGTTTGAGTCCAGCTGATGCTCTGGCTGAGAGAGAGGTGAACCCTGTGTCTCCCTCCTAAGTTGCATTCCCCGCCCCCCAGACAGTTGCCCCACCCCCACCACCCAAAAAAGTGTGAAAACTTAATGGCTCTTAGGCAAGGAATCCTGGAGGAGTTTGATCAGTTTCCGGCCTCTGATTATTTCCCCCGAGGGTCCCCTCTTCTTGCATGGGGCCTTATTCATACCGCTCCAAACAAACACATCGGGACATTGGTGCCAGGAAAACATTAAGGGTGGTTGGGTGTGTGTGCCCGCAAAAGACACAGAGTTGAAAATCTGAGAGCTCTTGCCTGAGAGCCCTGACGGGTCTGAAGAGTTTGTAGGGTGAGGGGGAGCCTTTCACCTTCTGCCTAATGGAACATATTGAAATGAGGTGTGGGCACGTCTCGGCCTCCTCCAGAGCAGACATCTGCTCCTAGAAGTGTGGTCCATACGGACACCGAGGATTTAGACCCGTCAATTACACCCCACACGGGACTGTTTGCCCCAGCTTTTTCGGGTCAAAGCCCCATCTCCTCCTACCCCCACTTTGTAAAGGCGCTCATAAGCTTCCAGGACTCCAGAAATTGGGAAGGGCAATATGGAAACGTGAGACACCAAGAAGGAAGCCCCTTCTCAAGACCCCCAGGATACAGGATGGGGCCAGGGCACTTCTGAGCCATCCAGCCAACCTGCACGTGGTGCTTTCTCCTGCTACCAAATTACATGAATTCTAATCGATTGACAGGGTCCATCTCCCAAAGAGATGCTGAAAGCAAATGTTACCTATGGGAGGCAATGCGTCCATTGCTGACATTTAGTGGTTGCAGGATAGGGAGTCACAGATGGAGAGTGAACTCACAGAGAGATCCTGGGTGGGTGGGCTTGGGCCAGCCTCCTCTCTTCTGTCCTATTTCTTTTTTTTTTCCTTAACATTAAAAAAAATTTTTTTAATGTTTATTTATTTTTGAGAGAGAGAGAGAGAGATACTGAGAGAGAGAGAGAGAGAGAGAGAGAGAGAGAGACTGTAAGCAGAAGAGGGGCACAAACCGGGAGATCATAACCTGAGCCAAAGTCAGATGCTTAACCGATTGAGCCACCCAGGTGGCCCAAGATTTTTATATTATTATTATTTGTGAGAGAGAGAGAGAGAGCGCACAGGCACACAAGCAGGGGAGAGGGGCAGAGGGAGAGAGAGAGAGAATCCCGAGCAGACTCCACACCCAGTGCGGAGCCCGACGCAGGGCTCCATCCCACGACCCTGGGATCATGACCAGAACTGAAATCAAGAGTTGGATGTTCAAAGGACTGAGCCACGCAGGCGCTCCCCTCTGTCCTATTTCTTGGTTGTGGGACAGGACACCTTAATCCCAACTTACCCAGACTCCACAGTCCAAACCCCAGACCCAGGTTAAAGTCAGAAATGAAATCGTACGAGCTTTCTCTCAATCTGAGTGTCTCTCAGACTCCAGACCTGGTCTACAGGTGCCATTCATTCCCTGGAGAGAGAGGCCTCCCCCAGGGCAGACAGTGCAGAAGCTGCCCCCAACCAGCTGGGACAGACGCCTGCCCTCCTTCATCCCTACTGGTGTTTAAAGGCATCATCTGCCCAAAGGCACCTCTTATCTTGAGCCCTGTCCCCTGGCCCCCAGCACTTAGGTTCCAATTCCAGCAAAAAGGGTTTCCGTGGTTCCTCAAAGACTCAGAAAGCCCTGAGGTCGGAGACCGGTTTTGTTCCAGAGGTCTTGTGCAGGCTCCTTTTTCCCAGGAAAGGGCCCATCTGAAGGCAGATTGGAGAGACAGGAGTCTTACAGGAAACATTCTCAGTCCTGCCAGGGTTCCCTTCCCTCCTTTCGCGTCTCTGGGTTCCTTTAATGAAACGTTCTCCATCCCAGGCAGGAAAACCATTTCCCTGCAAAATATGAAATCCATTGCTGAGCGCTGCAATGAGAATTAACCTTGATTACCGCAGTAATTTACTAATCAAAACTGGAGACCTGCTAATCAAGCTGGAATTGCCAGCTGCTTGATTTTTATAGTAACATAACCAAAATTGAGCATTTGGTAAACAAGGGGTGTGGGTCTGATGGGGAGACTGGAAGAAGGGGAGGGAGGGGCAGGGTCTACCAGGCCGGAGGGCGGTTGGCGTTTGTGCCATTGACCCGTCAGCAGGTAGAGCGGAAACAGATTAAACACATTAACCGATGGAAATGCAGAAGTTTCTCCTGAATGGGACAGCCCATTGAAACGCATGGAAGGGGTGAGCTGGGGAACAGGTAGCTTTTTCCCAGTCTGGCTTGTCCCAACCTGAGTTGGGTTCTTCTAGAAGCCAGCCCTTAGACAAGGATACTAGTGTTCACATTTATTTGGCTGGTAACCCCAGAAGACATCAATGGGAGAGCAAGAAAGGGAGAGAGGAAAGGAAAGGCAGGTAATGCAGGAGGCATCGGGAGTAGGTTACTGCTGTGGGCAACCAGACGCAGGTCTGCTGAGACTCACTGGGACACTGTGCAGAAGAGACCACAGATTGGTCTCCCGACCCCCCAGGGTGGCGGGAGCTATTATCAGGCAAGGGATGCCCCCAGGGGCGTTACCTTCCTGGTCATGGAAAGACACAGAAACTACCAGCATCCACCTCTGCACCCCCAGCCCCAGATCTCACAGGACTGCCTCAAGGATGTGCCAGCTGTCCCGAGACCTCTCATCTTGGCCTTGAGAAAGCACATGGAGGTTTTTCCCCAGTGAAGATAAAACAGATCATGCATGAGAGTCCCAGGAGCTGGTTGCAGGGCTGAGCCTGGAGGAGAGACCAGGGAGAGAACTAGCCAGCAGCGGGGAGGCCTGGAGGGCCTACGACACCCAGAGATGACAGGCCGCCATTTTTAATGTAGCAGTGAACAAGAAAGTTCTGAGCAGTCCACACAACAGAGATAGCACCGGAGGCATTTGTGGGAAGGCTCTCTGCCTAGAAAGTTCTCAGAGTCTGGAAAGACCCAGAGGATGGGGAAGAAATACCTCTGAGCAATTTATTGGCCACTGACTTGTGGTGCCAAAGAGCTATTGATATGGAGAGACTCACCATCCAGCACCATGGACAAGGAGACCACGGGTTCCCGGACAACTTTCTTCCCCTGTTCACGTCTGCTCTAAAGCACCAGAGATAGTAGGAACCTGCCCAGAAGGCGTCAAAGGGTTGAGTGATGGGGGTACTGTAGTTTTGCCCCCTGCTCACCCCACATCTCTGTCTCTGTGAACTTGAGCTCAAGCAGCATCCAGCAGGAAAGCTACTGGCGGCCCTTCCTGAGAATCAACTCCAAGAAGGGCTCCCTAGGGAATGTGGTCAGTGAACACCAAAAGAAAGGGATCCCAAGGCTGCTGCGGGTTACAGGGACAGGTGTCTAGCTGACCTCTACCCTGTCAGCCGCCTATGCTGTGTACGGCCTAGGAGCCAAGGCTGGTCGCTCCTGCTGTTCTCTACGTAAACATGGCTCGGATGCTTCTTTGCTTCTCGGAGGTGAACTGGACATCTGACTTACCTCACTATTACCCCTTTCCCTGGCGATGGGCAGTTTGGTTCATTCCACCATGAACATCCTTCCATGGGACTCCTTGAGCAGTGTTGTTCTAGTGGATACTTATCCAGAGATAGATGTTCTGGAAGAACAGATCTGCACCTTTTCTGTCATACTAGGTCTCACCAATCTGTTCCCTTAAGGGTCTGTGAGATGTGTAGCCCCACTCAGGCTGCCCCCCGTCCTCCCCCTCGCCCTTCCCCCCCAGCGCTTTACATCACCAGGTTCCAAAGTTCTGCCAATTTGGCACAGGTGATGCTGCTATATTTCACATGTCACGTGCAGCTGGTGAAAATCGAGCAACTTTGCGTTTTCGGCCATTGGCTCTCGTCTAAGAGGTTCTATGCTTTGCCCATCTTTGCACTGAGATGTCGGTCTTTTTGCTGTATTTTGGATGCCAGCGCTCTTAGTGATTGTAGAGGCTGCAAGTCGTGGAGGGCTTTTTCTTCTCAAAATTCTCCTCCTCCTTTCTCCTCATTTCCAGCATCTAGGTACTCCCTGGGAAATATCTCTACGTCTGGCACACTCTGGGGACTTTTCCCCCATCTCACCTCCCAAAAGCAGAAAGCACCGAGTCTGACACTTGCTGCTTAAGAAGCTAAGTAACCCTTACAATCCACTTCCTTGGAGCTTTGTGATTAATAAAAGCCATGAGTTCCGAGGACTCCAGAGGACAGGGCTGTCTTGGGTTGCACATGCTCGGACCTCTCCTCTGGTGTGTGCAGTGGACGGGATTAATTAATTAGTGAACCCCCTCAACCTGAGCCTGGATTCGTTCGGCCTCAGAATCTTTCCTAATAGTCATGGCCACCGCGACGCCATTGAGGTTGGCACGGAAGAAAATCTATATACTGTCATTGCCCCGGTGTAATCAAGTACATGTTAATCATCCCAGTTAGCAAGGGAGTCAAAGCCTCCCCACCTGACAATGATTATCTTATCAGAGTTTTCATTAAGAAGAAAATCCCAGCTAATTTCTTTGACCTCACCGTTTGGGAATATGATCCTCACCAGCCAACATGGAGCGAGTGGTTACTATGTGCCAGGCACAGTATGAAATGTATTTTCTCGTTGGGCCCGATGGCAGCTACTTACGTGGAATAGTGTAACGTCACAGGATAAAGGCAAAAATGGTCCCTCTGCTGTTCTCAACTTGACCCTTCTTCTCGTAGACCTGGGCTGCCAGGCACCAAGTCGTCTTTCCGCCTGAACCCTGGCGAGGTAGTTATCTTCTGAGATGTTCAAGAGCTTACTGGAACGCGGTGCATTTTCTTGTTTCCCTGATCTGGGGTGTAGGTCTCAGCCGGCAGGAAAAATGATAGAATGAGGTCTCAGTGGGTAGTCATGTCCACCTGGGGCAGGTGCCAAGGGTGCCCCGGCCAGATCTGCCTGTAGCAGGTGCTATGAGCTATCTCTGGCTGCCTTGACTATACACATCCCCTAAGAATTGTCCTCAGTGCTTGGGAGTCACGTTGCCTGGAGATACCTGGGAAATAATCCCCTTCCTCCTTGAGGTGGCCTCAACCAATGGCGGACGGAAACAGGAATTTGAAAGTCCACACCCCTTGCCTCAAGGTGGGGCAGCTCTTGGAGTCATTGACGCTCCAGACCTCCTTCCCCATGGGGCTGAGGGTAGACTCGAGCTGAACGCGTTTCATTGCCTGGCTTCCTCCCCTCCCCTCCCCCACTTCCTTGTCCTCCCCTCCCCGAAGATTCCATACCAGAGCACTCCTTCCATAAATCCTTGGCCTGAATTCTCCAGGTACACTTTGTTCCAGCACCAAAATTTCTGAGTGTCTTTAGTTTAAAAACCACTGGGCTTTATTCAGTTATAAACTACCCAGAAAACCATCCAGTTCTCTCCTTTTCCTTTGCACGTGCACACATGCTAACATGCTAAAAGGGTTCTTTTGTTCCTGCATTCTCAAATACCCTGTGAAAATCGGAGGCAGACGTTGCCAGACCAGTTGTTGGTATGGAAAACCCAAGTCACAGATAAGATAACTTGCTCCCAAAATCTCCACCTGGCAAACGTCACAGGTCACCTGGTATTTGGGTTGAACGTCCTCTTCTTTCAAGCTGCTTCAGTGTGACCCTTACTCACCACGCCTTTGCTTCCCGGGGTCAGAAGTCGAACCGTGCCCTAATGTGACAAATGAGCACCCCCCATTCCAGTTCAGCCAAAACCATCAGGAATTTTCTGGGTGCTCTCCCTGTTCCAGGGGCTTCAAGTTCATATATTTTAGGGGCTGGCTGGGCAGCTAGTCAGCCTTTGCCGCCTTCCCTCTCATCTTGCGGGCTGCCTCCTGGACAAAGCTTTAGTTAACTCTCTGCATCTCGCTAGCTGGAAGGAAGTATGCGCAACGACCCCAGGACAGAGCTTCTGGTCAACCTGTCCTCTCCTGCCCCGCACCTTGGGGACAGGTGCCTGCTTTTAGAATTGCATTTCAAAGCAACAGACTCGCTGGAGGTTGCCAGGTGGAAAGGCATATCGAGAGAGCCACTGAGCAGCGATTATTGAAAGCCCGAGTTTGTTTCTCTCCTTTGCATCGGTATCTGAGATGATGACTCTCTCCGGGGAGGTCGGTGAACCCTGTGCACTCAGGACTGCAACGTGAGGCTGAAACTTCAAAATGGCAGAGCACGAGAGGGGAGTTTCCGTGTTGCAGCGCGGTGGTTTCCAAGTTCATGCCAATTTATTCCCCAATCAAGAGCAATCCGCCTCACTTTGCCAAATCACACAATCCTTCTCCCCCCCCCCCCATTCCGTCAAGGAATGGGAGACGGTAACAAACAGCATGACGACGTCACAAATCAATTTTATTGAAAACGTATTAGGTTTCAGTAAAACCGAAGGATCAGACACCGGAAGAGAGGAAGCCGGGGGAGAGGAGACAGCGTACCAAGATTTACTTCTGAGTGCTACAAAATATTGAACTAAAAATAACATTAAAGATGAAATTTGTAATGAATCTCAAGCTGCTAAATTCCCCAAGGCTGGGTCTGCCAAAGGCTTTGCAGCAATCCTCTGTTCTTTCCTGTCTTTATTTAAATATTTTATACAGTTGTATGTGTTCATGTGCAGCGTGAACTGTCATGTATATTTCAGTCCACTCTAAAATGGATCTTAGGCTGCCTCCAGCTGAGCGCCGCACGGAGCGGGTCTGAGCGGAGAGGTAGGTTGGAATGAGGCTAAATGGAGACAGATACTTAATGCACTTGTTGTGTGCTTAGATTTGGCTGTCACGGTTACCGCCTTAAACCTGATTTGTAATTCTCTGGGTCTTGTGACATTATGGCAAGATGAGATGTGCGTAAGGCCCCCATTTAGCAGGGACGTTGATGGACATAGGGAGTTAAAGAAGAGTGGTTGACGGAGAGCGAGCCCGGATTCGGACCCCGAGGCTTAATGCTCAGCCGACGAACCCGCTCCGTCGGTAGCCGTAGTATTTCATGCTTTTCTGTACATTAGACTTTGCCAAAGTGAACTTTTGGAAGAATAAAGCATTTCCAAGATAAATTCAATTTTCCCGAGTGTTGAACTTAACTTTCTATGTCACTTAGTGATTTACTCGGGTCTGGGTGAAAGCATGCATTTTGCTGGTTCTCACACCGAGGGGGGCCGATGGGGGGGGTGGGTGGGGAAGCCAGTGAGAAAGCGACAGAAGACCACAGGGCGGTGGGTGTGGGGGGCCTGGGAGGGCCCTCGCGGACTCCTCGCACAGAAGTGGGGGGCGGGGGTGGAGCTGGGGACACGCCCTCCGTGAAGTTCCCGTTTGGTCCCGCAGAGGCGGACAGGCTGGGTGCCTGGCACACCCCAGCGCGGCACGCACGACCTGCCGAAGCTGCCAGTTCTGGGCGTGGAAGTGTAGGGGTGGGGTGGGGTTCCTTGCAGCCCCCTTCCCTTTCACAGCCTGCTGCCCAAGTACTGCCCAGACTCAGCCATCAGCGCCCCTGGAGGTGGCTTGTCCTGCGGCCTGAACGAGGAGGCACCACTTCTGTCCCAGCACCCAGCGGACCCAGTTTTGCTCCATTCTGCTCTTGGTCCTCCCCCCGCCCGACACATCCCCAGAGAAAAGGCTCATCCTGGACCACTCCACACCTTCCCCTTTGGGGGCTCCCTCGAGTGTTCCAACTTCTGGTGCCTGTCGCCCTTGCTAGCAATGAGGCGCTGGGATCTGCAGGGGGTCTCCTAAGGGGGAGCCGTGGTTCATGCAGAATCATTTGCGGAGGAAAAGGCAGAGACGTGTAGTGGGAACCCCAGGGCCTTAACACTGGCTTTTCTCTTTGCGCCATAGACCTATAATAAATATAATCATATCTGGTTTTCCCAGTGTGTGGAGGGACTACCCAGGGCTGGGTGGCTTCCTCCCCACACCCTCTGGTCCTCTGTCCCCACCTTAGGCTCCCCTCTACCTCTGTGTAGGACCCTGCAAACACCAGGGCAGTCAGACTGGCCTGGCTCCACCCCTCGTTCAAAGTCTTAGTGGCCTCCGTGGGAAGTCGGCCAACCTTAGCATCAAGGGTCGGACAGTCCTCAAAATGCTTTGTCCACACCCTAACCCTCGGAATCTGTGACTGTGACCTTGTTTCAAACAGGGTCTTTGCAGATGTAATTAAGTTAAGGGTCTTAGGATGAAATCACCCTGGATTATCTGGGGGTTGGGGGGGGTCCCTAAATCTAATGATAAGTGTCTTCACATGAGGTGGAAGAGGGGAAGCCAGTGGCTAAACAGAGGCAGAGACAGGCATGACGATGCGGCCATAAGCCAAGGGCACTGGAAGCCCCAGAAAAGCCAAGGGACAGATTGTCCCCTGGAGCCTGTGGGGGGAGCACAGCCCGGCTGATGCCATGATGTCAGCTTCTGACCAGAACCATGGGGGGGGGAGAGGGTGCGCTCCCACTGCGCTAGGCAGGCCAGTTTGTGGTGATGGTTATGGCCGTCTCATGAGCCCCCCCCACTCCCAGTTTCCCCGCTTACGTGGGAGTAAGGTCATGCCCACGGGGACTTGGAGACGTGTGGACACGTCAAGGTGAGGGGGAGGTCACTGACACCGCCTCTCCACGAGCCAAGTATTCCAGACCATCTTCCTGGTCTTTGTCCTTCCCTTTGCCTGCAGGAACCCTGTCCAGCCTTCGAAGGGTGTGTCCTCCAAGGCCCTTCAGGACGTGCACAGACACCATTGCCTCCTGGTGGAGGGCACTGGGCCTCAGGATCAGCAGAACCCCGCCGCGGTCCCTGCTGGGCCTCAGGGAGTCTGAAGGGCAGCGGTCCCTCCGTCCAGGGTCCTGGGGTCTCCACCCAGCCCGTGCCCCCGCCACGCTGCTCACGAAGGCTGCACGGCTGCCTCCATGGTCAAAACTCTTTGGGCTGCAAGTAACCGAAGCCTCTCCTGCGGTCCTAAGCAGCCCAGGGAACTCTTGTAAGGAAGGACGGCCCTGCCTTCTGGGACGTGCAGCCTGGAAATGAGAACGCGCCAGGCCCCAAGTCACATCCCTTCTCCCTCGGCCTCCCTGTCACCCTGGGCAGACCAGCTCTCCTGGCCTTTTCAGGACATAAGGTGGACCCCGAGTGACTGTCCCCAGCACACTGATGGGAGGAGGCTGGCTCCTGGGACCTCCCCACCCTCACTCCCTGCAAGGAGAAGGTGACTGGTACGGCAGGGGTCAGACATCCCTCAGGTACAGCAAGGGCCTGAGTGGCAGTGGTGGCCACGGGGGTCCGTCCTCAGGCAAATAGGACGGACCCCCTCTTCCCACCCCAAAACCTCAACCAATGCCCGTTATCCCATCAGGCTCTACAATTGCATGAGTTTCTCCGGGGGGTGGGGGGGGGCGAGGGGGGTGGGATCAAGCCTGGCCAGGCCCTGCCTGCGCGGGCAGGCCTCCGTGGTCCTGGCTTCTCTGCAGTGATTTGATTTTGCAGGTAATAAAGACGGCCGTGTGGCTGGGGTTGAAGGGCTTAGACCCGGATTACAACCTCACTGTGCGTCTTCAGGACCCGTGTTCCCAACCGGACTCTCCCGGATGGTCGTATCAGGTCACGTGCATCCTGAGACTTCTGGAGAGTGGGACCCGTCGAAGTGTTTGGGCCGGGGCAGAAGCCAAGGCTGGCTACACCCAGAAAGACCTGCGGGCTGCTGTTTCTCTCTGCCCTTCCGCACACAGCCAAGCTCTGCCGGCACACTGGTTTACCCTGGGTTAGGACCTCAGCTATTTAGCAGAGACTCCCGGGCATGGCGTCCACATTCTGGAGACTTTTTCTATCCCCCTCCCCTCCCTGTGTCCTCAGTCAGGCTCTCTGGACCTCAGCCTCTTCATCTGTAAAATGGGCATGCTAAGGCCAGCCTCTGCTGGTGGTGAGCGCCCCCTGGGGTACTTTGAGAAGGGAAATCGGTACCCGGACACCACGCTTCCGCACGAATCCTGGTCACAAGGCAGGACCCTTGGGAATTTTTGCTCTGAAGGCAGAGTTTTCCCTAGTGGGTGTGGAGCCAAGCCCCTGGGAGGCACGATGGGGGAAATTCTGGGAGCTGGCCACGTGTCCCTTCTCACACAGAGAAGATTCCTTCGCGGGAGAGGCCGCCAGCCGGGGCAGCCTGCCTGTCTTGCTGTGGTTCTGCTAGGTTAACTCCCAGTGGGA